ACATCTCCTCCAGCCGCAGCCAGGCACTGACACAGGGACTCACCTATGTCCAGGATCCTGTCCCCAGGCCTGTTCCACCGCCAGCCCTCCAGCTGCTGATGCTCTGTGTACTGCAGCCGCCGGTCATGGAACACCACTCGGAATATGCTCTAGAGAGGAAAAACAGTCAGTGCCTGGAGCTGCCTCAGGAAAACTGAGAGTCTTCAAGCCACGAGGCATTTCCCAGCGTGAGAAAAGGGGCAAAGAGGGGAGTGGAGGAGCCTGAAGGCTTCATGGAGAAGCCAAAGCAATAAAAGAAAATCCAGAGGGACCCTTGGGACAAAAGCAGGGAGGCTGCAGCTTATCCTTCCCGAACACTAAGCCATCAGCAACTGCCTCTTGCCTTGACCCCCGGCCCTGTGAGACCAGTTGGACACCACCAGCCAGACTGGTCTCAACCAGGTGGGAGAAGGGGAAAGGGAAAATAAACCCCCGACCAAGCGAGAGCTCATGCTGCTGCAGAGGCTGCTGCAGGGACACAGGTCAAGCCCTCGCTCGCTGCTCCCTACAGGACGGCGCCAGTTGGACACACGTACCCGTCCCTCCACTCACCTTAACCAGTTTCCCATTTATCTCTGGCAGCTCCCCGATTTTCCTGTTATCCAGCATCCGGATTTCATAGGACTGCCCTGGGGGAAAGAAGACAAGGGCACCTCATGGTTAGACGGGGCTGGACCTTTGCTGCTGCCTCTCCTCTGGCATTTTGACATCTTTTGCTGCCACACCAGACGTGCCACTTGATCTCTTTGCTGTGTTTTAGTGAGGGGTCACACAAGCATTAGAGCCACAACCATAACACTCCTCTCCAAGAAGAGATAATCCTCCCCCTTCCCACACCAGTACTTTCCAGGAGTTACCCTTATTAACCCAAGACCAAGAACAGGGAAGAAATAGATGACACAAGTTTCATCTGCCTTTGGTCACCAACCCTGATCTTCCAGTTCTACTTGAAAGCAACGGGTACAGTTTGAACCCATAAAACACACTCCCTGCAGAGCACCCCAGCACAGATACACCAGTCAGCCATCTGAAGTTGTGGCCAGGGCAGTTGAGATGGGATGTGAGGAAGAATTTCTTTGCTGCAAGGGTTCTGAGGCATTGGAAGGGGTTGCCCAGGGCAGTGGTGGAGTCCCCATCCCTGGAGGGATTGAAGAGTGTTGTAGACATAGTGCTGAGGGACATGGGTTAGTGGCCATGGTGGTGTTGGGTTGATGGTTGGACTTGATGATCTTGGAGATCTTTTCCAACCTTCCCATCCCTGGAGGGATTGAAGAGTCGGGTAGACATAGTGCTGAGTGACATGGGTTAGTCGGGGACTTGTCAGTGTTGGGTTCATGATCTCAATGATCTTCAAGGGTTTTTCCAATCAAGGCAATTTTTGGATTTTAATGGGGTTTAATCCCACAGCTGATTCATGCCAGCGCCGTAAGCAGAGGACAGGCAGCAAGGCAGAGGAAGTGGCACTTCCAAAAAGAAACCATCTGGGGTTTTCTATCGAGGTGCTTTCCATTCCCAAAGGCAGAATTTTATTTGTTAGGGTGTTTCAGGAGGCACACACAGCCCAGGGTTTCTCTCACCTTGGTTGAGATAGGTGAGGGTCTCGTCGTGGAGCTTGACGGCGGGGGAGGTGGCGGCACACAGCACGTACTGGAAAGGCAGAATTTTGTTCTCGTTTTCAGGAGGCAAACTCGATTCTTCTTGCTTGAAGATGGGCAGGGCAAGGACGTCGCTGCAAAGAGATTTGTCAGAAAGATTCATTTCAGCCCTGGCTACAGAGAGATGATGTGTTTGGTCTTTAGTTTCTCCTCCTAGGAAGAGCTTTGAGCTTTTTTTTTAGTTAGAAAAACCCACATTCCCCGACATCTCTCTGCTGAACTGCAAAGGAAGGTTAAAGCAGAGCGAGTAGTCTGAGAAGATGACCTGACATCTACTCTGGCTAAAGCTTTTTTCAAGTGAGTCTCCCCATCCACCCCAAACCCACACATTTCTTGCTTCAAAACTAAGAGACAACAGAGTTTGTGTTTCAGACTGAAGCCCTGAGCTCCTCCGGCGACGCGACTCCTGCGCCGCTTGTGCATCAGCAGAGAGAGAAACATCCGTGTTGTGCTGACCAACACCCGTCCTCTTCCTCGTGGTGCCAGCCCTGCTCACCTCTGCCAGCAAACCAGCCCCTGGTCCCTTCCCCAGCTCCAGGCAGAGCAGCCCAACACCCGTCCTCTTCCTCGTGGTACCAACCCCCCTAACCTCCACCAGCAAACCAGCCCCTGATCCTTTCCCCAGCTCCAGGCAGAGCGGCCAGGAGCTCGTTTACCCTCAGGAGAGGTTTGGCAGGAATTTGAAGTCTTGTTCTCGTCAAGGTCACCCATTTTTTCACCATCACCTCCTCTGTGCTTATAAAAGATGCAGCAACAAGGGCTGTTGGGCAAAGCGGAGGCAGAGACTTTGGGGCACGTGGGATGGGTGGGACCCACGGTCAGGGCGCCAAACCCTCCGTCCTGCAGCCGTAACCTGCTGCTTGATGCTCACAAGCATCTTGGTGGAGCAAATCCTGATGGCTCTGACATGGCAAGAGCCCTTCTGGCACCAAGAGGTGGACCCCCAGCTTACCCCAAACTCATCGACAAGCTCCCAGACCCAAGAGCCTTTTGTGGTGGGCACCACACAACCAGCCAGCCCTGATCCAAACTGAGAGCTTGGGATGCTCACAGAGGTGGGTGACTGCATGTCATGGGTGGCACAGACCACGCCATGTGTCCCCACACCATGGGACGTGGGAGAAACCAGACCCAGGTTTCTGACACAACCATGGGCACCTTTTTACACCTCACAGATCCACCTCTTGCTGAAAGTCGCCGTGATTCCTGCCCCAGCCTCCATTTCAGGGCAAGAGGAACTGCCTTGGAGAGCCATCAAGATGGTTTCACCACAAACCATCAACCTGCAACAGCTCAAACACCTTCCAGGTTATAGGGGAGGAGTTATATGGGAGCTCCACACCGTGCTCCAGCCAGCATGGGCTCAGGCTCATCATCCTCTGGATGCTGTCACGCTGCTCTTGGCACTGGCTGGGGAAAGTGAGGGTGTTCCAAGTCCCAGGCAACCAACTTCTCCTGAGAGAAGGATGTCTCCAGGTCTTTGCAACTGTGGAAAAAACTCCCTGTCTCCACTCCCCTGCGATCACAGACACTTTTCCACACTCAAAAGGTCACGTGCCAACAAGAACTTGCTGAATAATGTTAATTTAAAAAACATCAGCCACACCCCTGAGCGTACGGACACAGATTTAATAGAAATTGTTTCAGAAGCTGACGCTCGGCGGTTGTTCTGAGCCATAACAATGGCCAAGAGCAATTATTCCATCGAGCACAAACCAGAACATCCTCCCACCCATCCACACGAGCAGAGCTCAGTGCAAAAACAGAGCCTTGGAGCACGGACACGACCACAGAGCTGCAGATCGGCTGCTGGGGCCACCCAGTGCCACCCCATCGCCCCATCCTTGGGTGGGGACGGGGCTATTCAGGTCCCTTTGGAGGGCAGCAGCGAAGGACTGAGCCCTGATGAAGAGTCAGGTCACCTTCCTCTCCTGTCACAGGCTCAGATGCTCACAGGAGTGTGAAGAAGAAGGGGTTAAATCAGGTTTTTTTCCTTTTAGTTGAACATTAAAAAAATCTTTCTCAAGGAAAAACTGGATTTATCTGGTCAAATACCAGCTCCTACCCTATCAGAGCTTTAACCCTTTGGTCTCAAGACCAAATATCCACCAGCACTGTGTAAATAACACCCATCACAGCTGCCCAAACCCGAGCAGGAGAGCCCTTCCCTGCTCAAATCCCAATTTATCAGACATTACACGGAGCCGCGCGGATGCTCTGGTCTCAGCATCGAGGCACGTGTACACAATTAGGCAAATTACACAACCAACTTCCCTGCAGCTCCATCTCATTAGCACAGGAACGGCTTTTCTTCCTTCCTCAGCAGAAGGATTTCTTGCTGAGGTAGGAGGAAGCCCTGTAAGAAATTATGAAGCTTGAGGATGGGGAAAGACCAACACTAAATGAATTTAAAGGTCACACCCTGCAGAAACTCTCCCGGCAGCCACACGAGCGCTCGTGTCCTCATCAGCTTTGACGCGGTGATGCTTCAATCCCACTTCCACAACCTTGGGACACCCCGTTTTGGCTCTTTTTTTTTTTTTTTTTTTCAAGCTTTGCCTCATCTAAAACCAGTTTGGGTGAGAAAAAGGCAAAACCTGACTGTGATACCCTGTGCAGAGAGCCAGCGCGTCGCCACATCGCGGCTTTCGCTCCAATGTCCTGCGCGCGCGGAGCTCTCGCGCGGTGCCGGGTCACCCTGACGCTGCACAACCCTCTGCTCCAACATCACAAACTGATTTTCAGGGTTCCAGGAGCTCAGCGTGGCCACTAACACCACCAGGACACTTGCCAAGAGGGACGGCAGAGTCATCCCTGTGAAAACTCCCCCAAAATCAGCTTCTCAATTTATGTTTGCTCAGTTCCCCGCACAACCACGACGTGAATTTTATTATTAAGCCACATTTTAGTGCAAAAGGGGAAAAAACTCCGAGTAGTCGCATCCCTGAATTTCCAGAATAAGAGTCCAACTGAATTAACCAGGAATAATTACTGAATAATTATGGTTTGGCTTTTGGAAACTCTACATGCACGGACAGGTCATGGAACATCGTGGTGACGCCTCAATCTGTGGGGAGAGACCCTTCCCTGTCCCAGTGGCCAAGGGTTGGGCTAAGAGTCCTCGGCTGGGACCTCTGATGGGTCAGATGCTGTTATGGGTCTGTGCTATAGGATCCATAAGGCTCAGCTGGATGTACTGCAGGGAGCAATAAAGAGTTAATTATTTCTAGAGACAGCACGGTTAGAAAACAGCAAGGGAATCATGGAATCCCAGGCTGGTTTGGGTTGGGAGGGACCTTAAAGCTCATCCAGTCCCAACCCCCCTGCCAGCAGCAG